CTAAGATATTAATATACTAAAAGACTTATTAGTACTACTATAATAATAGATAAATAATACTCTTTACTATATTTTATAAATAATTAAAGACTATAAGATTATAGTTATTTATTAATAGATAGAAGAAAAAGTACCTTTATAACTATTTATAAAGTATTATATAATTTTCAAAGGAGAAAGAGGAAAATAGGATTTTTAAGGAACTATTACTAATAGGGAATAAGCTAATTAAAAGATAGATCTAAAGATAAATACCTTTAACCTATAATTAAATAAAATAAAACTCTAATACTATAATAAAGTCTAAGACTAGAAGGACCTTATATTTAAAGTCTACTAGTTAAAATTTAAAGAATATATAGGAATTATAAAAATAACTATTAAATTTAAATAATACTATAATTTCCTATATTTTAAAGAGAAGGTTAAAGAGGTTATTAATAAATATAACCTCTATAGATAGAATAAGCTAGGATAATATAAACCTTATAGGCTATTATAACCCTTATCTATTACTAAATAATAATAGAGTTTAATAATAATAGACTTTATTATTAAACGATTAGAATCTAAAAATATTATAATATAAGTAATATATAATAATATTCTTACTATAGTAAATAAACTTATTAAATAAACTTACTTCCTACTTTATAAGAAGATCTAAATAGTTAAATAATATCTTTAACTTTATATTAACTTCTAATAAAATAACTAAGTTAAACTATTATCTATTATATAGCTTATTTATAATATTATTAAAATAGAAATAATAAAAGTTATACTATATTTTATAAACTTTAATTATAAACTAGACCTCTAATAAAGACCTAATATTAAGGTACTTTAAACTAATATTAAAGTAGATAAGATAAGCTTATTCTATATAATATTTAAAGAAGAACTTAAGTTTATAAGAGCTAAGATAAAGAAGTTTTATAATTAATAAAGGCTTAAAGGACTTAATCTAAAGAAGGGAGATAAAGTTTACCTTAGTTTATAAAATCTTAAAAATAAATAACCTAATAGGAAATTAGACTTTAGAAGAATTAGACTATTTAAAATTAATAAAAGGATCTTAAAGAATAACTATACCTTTATTTTACTATTAACTATAAAACTATAGATAAATGTTTTTTATATTATACTATTTAAACTTATATTAAAGAACTTAAAGCTTAATAAAGATATTAAAGTAGAGGATAAAGAAGAAGAATAGGATATAAAGGAAATCCTCGATTTAAGAATTATATAAAGGTAACTTAAATATTTAGTTAAATAGTTAGACTTTAGACTTAAAGATAATTTATAGTAACTAATAGAAAATTTAATCAATTACCTAAGGAAGTTATAGGATTTCTACTACTAGTACTTTAATTACCATATATAATTAATAAAGATTAGTTAAAGCTATTATTATTAAAGGAAATTAATAAAGAATTAAAGAATAATAGTTAGTAAAAAAATAAATAATATTTAGTTATAGTAAAAGTTAAACCTATAACCTTATATAAATAGTTTAATATCCCTATAGGTAATAAATATATAAAACTATAAAGTATATATATATTATTATTATACTATATAACTATTTTATTTATTAGAAATTAAAGAAGAAATATTTACTTAAGAAGAGAAAGGTTAAAGGGACTTATAAAAGGAAGGAAAGACCTAAGGCCTAGAGATTTAATATCTAATAAAGTAAGAATAAAAGGCCTAATAGACTCTATAGTTATGTTAGACTCTACTTTCTTTTATTTAACTTACTTTAGCTCTTTTATTAAATTAATACCCTATAAAACAATATATATTATCTTTTTAAACTATATCCTCTTCTATTTATATAGGTAAGTAATTTTAATATTTAAAGTAGTATATTTTACTTTAACCTTCTTTATTTTAACCTTTAAAGAGTTATACTAAATAATAATTTTTCAAAGCTATTAAAGGGTTATATAAGCCTTTGGTATTATAGTTAGATTAATTATTTTAGATATATAAAATATAGTACTTAGAACTATTAAATAAGGCCTTATATTTAGTATAACCTTTTTTCTTATAGTATAAATAAACGTTCTTTATTATAAATGATAAATAGATAAAGGTCTTTAAAAGTATATTATACTATATAGTCTTAAAATAAGGAATTCTCAGTTTTATTTTCCTTAAATAGTCTAATATTTTTATTAGTAATTAGATAGTATAAAAGGAAAGGGGAGCTATATTTATAAATATAGGCTATTAGTAGTATTTAAAGTAAAGGCTTAGACTGTTTTAGGTTAAAAGAGCTTAAAGAGGGATATTATATTATAAGCTAGTTATAGAAGGTAGCCTATAATATATATAAATAGGGTATAGGATATACTATTAATCAATTACTTATATAACCAATTAAGAGAAGGCTTAATAAGATCTCTTTAAGATCTATAAGAGCTAATAGTAGGATTAATAAAGGAAGGCTAAGAGCTAATAGACTTAATAGGATCTTAGTAAGAGCTATAAGGTCTAGGAATAAGGAACTTTAGGATAAAGAAGTCGATAAGTATATATATAACTAGCTAGTTACTCGTTAAAGGAATCTAGGACTTCTTTAGTAAGTAATATAACTTATTTGCTATAATTATATAGACTAGTAAACATTAAGACTAGATTATTATCTTATTATAAACCCTTTAGCTTTACTGGATTATAGCCCTTTACATTATACCTTTAGTAAACCCTTTCAGAGTATGGTTGAGAGACAATCTGTTATAGGAGTAAGGTAAGACCTACTTTATTATATATAAGGAAATATATAATTATATATTATTAACTTTTTCTAAATTACCTTATAGCTATTTATAAAAACCTTAACTACTATATAATAGCTCTAATAGAGTTAGATACTCTTTATTAAAAAGCTAATAAGTTATTTACCTCCTATTTTATTTAATTTGAGATAAAACTATTATAGATAGGAGAACTATCTTAGAATAATAAAGTATAGATTATTTAACTTAACTATAATTTTAAATAAAAGCTATAATATATCACTATAGGATAGGATATCTTTTAGGATAATTATACCTTAGCTATAGAGAAACTTTAGAAGATTACTATTAACTTAAAATCCTAAAGCTAGAAGAAGTCTTCCTTTATAAGAAGATAAAGTAGATTATCTTTAATATAGCCTTACGAATTAATATAAATAGAGATATTCTAATAACTAAAATTAATACTATATATATTTAATAGTCCTAGAAAGGGGATAGTTAATAGAAAAAGGAAGAATAACTATAAAGAAATAATAACGATAATAATAATATATTAAAGGTAATATAGGTTTTGTATAAGGTAAGAATAGCTTATTAAATAACTATTACTTATCTATAGTATAGCTAATAAAGATACTTTATATTAAAGTACTAGTTTATATTAGTAGAGAAGCTTAAAGGGTAGAGAAGAGGATTAAAAAATATATAGGCCCTTTAAATAGATATTTAAACCTTAAGAAAAGATAATAAAGGTAAAGGAGAACCTAAGTTAAAAAAATAGTAACCTTTAAATAAAGTTTTATTAAAGGATAGAGAAAGTCTATTATTAAATAGAATAAGTTTAATAAAATTATAAAATAAATATATAAACTACCCTTTTTAATTCTAATATTCTGTAATATATTAAGCTTTATAACTATATTGATAAATAGTAGATACTTTAACTATAATATAATTAATAAAAGGTTATATTAGAAGTTAAAGATTAAATAGGTTATTTTATCTATATCTAGATATTTAAAGATAGTAATAGATATTTATCTAAAGAAAAGAATTATCTAAATTATCTAGTATAACAGATCGTCTCTCAACCACACTCTAAAAGGGTTTACTAAAGGTATTAATGTAAGGGTTATAATATAATAAGATACTGATCTAGTCTTAATGTTCACTGGTCTGAACAATTATAGCGAATAAGTTATATTACTTACTAGAGAACTCCTAGAGTCCTCTAGAATAAGTAACTATATACCTTCTAGCTTACTACTATTTACTAACTATCTAATCTACCTTAGTCTTCCTAGATAGATATCTATTTAAGTCTATTATAATCCTTTCTACTTACTAGCTTCCTAAGGCTACTTTAGGCTGTTTTAATATAGCTATCTCTACTTCCTATCTTCTTATTAGTTGTATTTTCCTATATATACCTTACCTAGGTTTCTACTATATAGTTGGTTTATAATATAATACCCCTTCTCTTTATATTTTATTTCAAAGACCTAGGGTTTTTTAACAACTATATCTTACTACTAATACCTTTCCCTTTTTAATAAGTCTTACTTTTATCCTTATTATACCTTTCTACTATACTTACTATAGCTAACCTTAAACATTATAGTTCTTATAATTTAAAGCAAGAATACCTTATTTTTATAGTAAAGATTAAATAGTCTAGTTTTAAGGTAGATATACCTTATAAACGTTATTAGAATATAAAGCCTTAAAGGTATTATATTATAATAAAAGGCTTAAATAAATATTTAAGTTATATCTATATAAATAAAAAGTATAATAGTTCTAATATAGCTAGTTCTTATAAGTATTATATTGTTAAAGTATACTTTATTAGATTTATATCCTAATAAGTATTCTAATATTATTTAATTTATCGGAGTAGAAAAAGGTAATATAAGATATTAAAAAGATAGAATAGATATTATCTAAAACCCTAAGTTATTTATCTTATCTCTATATTTAATAGTACTTCCTTTATATTTATAGTACTAAGGTATTCTACTAGGAAATATCTTACCTAAAGGAGGAAGAAGAGCTTAATTCCCTAAAACCAATATTAAAGGAATAATCCCTAGTTAGTTAGATATAGTTAATAGGTACCTTTAGTATATTAGACTAAGAAGCCTTTAACTTCTTAAGGTCTAGGGGTATTCCTTCTTTATTAGATCCTCTATTTAATCCCTCCCTTTTTAAGTAAATATTCTCCTTTTAGTTTTTAATAAATAAAATAGTTATATAGTATAGTAGTAATATATATATACCTTATAGGTTTTTATATTCATTTCCTAGGTATAATAACCTATTTATATAAGGTTATAGGTTTAATTCCTACTATAACTAGGTATTTTTTTTTATTAACTATTATTTCTTTAATTCTTCCTTTAATAATAATAGCTTTAACTAGTCTTCTTTAATTATATAGGATAATTAAAGTATTAGTAATAAAAATCCTATAACTTCTCTAGATAATTGATTAAGTTTTCTACTAACTACTATAAATTATCTTTAAGTCTAAAGTCTAACTATTTAACTAAGTATTTAAATTACCCTTTTATAATCTTTAAATTAAAGATTTCTTTTATATCTTACTTTTCTTCCTTATCCTCTACTTTAATATCTTTATTGAGCTTTAAATTCTTAGATATAGGTTTAAATAGTATAATATAAAAAATATTCATTTATAGTTTTATAGTTAATAATAAAGTAAAGGTATAGTTATTCTTTAAGATTTTTTTATTGATTTTAAATAGTCTAATCTTCCTAAAGTCTAACTTCCTACTAGGCTATTTAGTTTTAAGATTTTATAAATTAAAGTAGACTTTATCTCCCTTCTTTAAATAAAGCCCTTTAAGCCTTTTCTAATTATAGAACTTCTTTATTCTAGTTCTTATAAACTTAAGCTTCTCTTTAAATATTATATAGAGTAAGTTTATTTTATCTACTTTAATAATAGTTTAAGGTACTTTAATATTAAAGCTTTATTAAAGGTCTAGTTTATAACTGAAATTTATAAAATATAGTATAACTTTTATTATTTTTATTTTAATAATATTATAAGTAAGCTATATAATAGATAGTAATTTAATCTAATTATCCTATTAGAAATTAATATAAAGTTAAAGATATTATTTAACTATTTAGTTAAATTATTCTATTTATCTATCTATTTATATATAATATACTAATAAAAGCTTACTTTTAATATTAAATCTTATTATTAAAGCTTATTAAAACTTTAAGGTAAATTTAATATTTTAATCTATTATTAATTTTTTTAACTATATATAAATTAAGGTAATATATTAGTAGAGAATATCTATAAATTATTCTACTATCTAGGTTTCTTTATAAGATAGGAAATAAATCTATTTAATAAACCTATTTACTATAGTAAAAATATTATTATATATTATCTATATTATAATATCCTTAGATTCTAGTAGTTTAATAATAAAGTCTATTATTATTAAACTCTATAGTTATTTAATAATAGATAAGGGTTATAATAACCTATAAGGCTTATATTATCCTAGTTTACTTTATTTATAGAAGTTATATTTATTAATAACCTCTTTAACCTTTTCCTTAAGGTATAGGAACTTATAATATTATTTAAGTTTAATAGTTATTTTTATAATTCCTATATATTCTTTAAGTTTTAACTAATAGACTTTAAATATAAGGTCCTTCTAGTTTTAGGCTTTAATATAGGCTTTATTATAATACTAGAGTCTCATTCTATCTAATTATAGGCTAAGGGTATTAGCCTCTAAATCTATCTTCTAGTTAGCCTATTCCCTATTAATAATAGTTCTCTAGAAATCCTGTCTTTCTCTTTCTTCCTTAAAAATTATATAATACTCCTTAAATAGTTATAGAAGTATTTCTTCTTCTTCCTTTATTAGCTAGTAAATAGCTATAATCTTCTGGTCTTTAACTAATTATAAAATATAATAAAGAGTATTATCTATCTATTATTATAATAGTATTAGTAAGTCTTTTAATATATTACTATTTTAATAATTAATTCTCTTATTTAAGGTATTTATCTATATATTTTCTATATCCTTTTTATAGTCAATTATAAAGTTAAACTCTAATAAGACTTCTACTTATTTAATTTACTATCTATTTAAAACTTTAATTATTATAAAGTATTTAAGGTTCTTATAGTTAATATAGACCTATATTAGATAGGTAGTTCTATTAAAGTAAGGTCTTTACTTCTAAAATACTTTAATAATAGTAAATAGCTCTTTATTATAGATAAGGTAGTTAAAATAAGGCCTATTTAGTTTCTTTAAAAAGAATACTATTAAATATAACTTTCTATTCCTATCCCTTTATCCTAATTAACCTCTAATTATAAAATTTAATATATTAGCTTCTACCTTAAAAGATAGACTAGGGTTTAATAATAAAAGTATTAGGTCTATTAAGATATTCTATTAGATCCTTTAAAACGTTTATTTTTAAATACCTTCTTATTTAAACTTTACTCCTTTTTTAGTAAGTTTATATAACGGTTATATAATATTATTAAACTTCTAGATAAATATCTAAATAAAGTTTATAAATCTAATAAATCTTTAGACTTTAATAGTATTAATAGATATTAACTACTCTATAATTATTTAGATCTTCTAAAGCTTAATCTTAACCTTTTCTAATAAGATTTTATATCCTAAGAAGACTATCTTTTAAATATAAAATTTACTCTTCTCTTTATTAACCAATATTTAATATTAATATAATATATTAAATATTTACTATATATATTATTAATATTCTTTAAATATTTTAAAGTAGATAAAGATATTATTTAAATAGTATATTATAAACTTATTAAGGTAAGATTAAATAATATAATCTATTATAGTTTAAAATATTACTAATATATTAGTAAGTTTAAATAATATTACTAAATATTTAAAATACCTATAGGATATTTAAAAAGCTATATTCTATTTATCCCCTTCTTTAATATAAATATAAATATATACTATTAATAGATTAAGATAGATAAAGTATTATACTTTAGCTAATTAGTCTTAAAGCCTTAAGATTAATAATAAAAGGTATTAGTTTTTAATTATCTTATTATTTAGCTATTAATAGTCTATATATATTTTAAGCTTCTTATCCTTTTTTAAGATAAATAATATTAGATATTTAATAGATAAGGTTAATAGCTAGATATATCTAATCTTTAGGTTATTATCTAAATACTTCTTTAACTTAATATCTTACTTTTTATTAATATAGTAAACCTTAAAGAACTTTAGTTATATCCCTTCTTTAAATTTAATCTTATAGTTTTAAAGTCTATATTTTAAAAGTCCTTTAATATATTTAGCCTAAAATACTAGATATCTTTTATATTCTAGGGGAACCTTACTAGTTATAGAGGTCTTTATAGTCCCTTTATAGTAGATAAATTTATTATTCTCTAATTTAATATTTATAACCTTAAGTTTACTAATTCTTTCTCCTTTATATTTAATATTTACTACTTTAACTAGGCTAATCTATTATTTAATTATAAACTTCCCTTTTTTATTAACCAAGATAATAGTAACTTTTTAATTAATCTATATCTTCTTTTATTATTATAGATTATATTTTCTAGAATCTAAAGCTTACTATTTTTTACTAATTACTTTTTATAATAGGCCTATAAAGGTTATATTCTTCTATACTTTACCCTATTATAGCTTTTATTCTATACTTTTGTCACGGATATGCCAACAGGTGGGACCCGGGGCGCGGGACGCCCCGAGCCAGTCGTTCAGGTTGGACCAATCAGGAACATAAGGGGGTGGTCAGTAGGCTCAGTTGCCAAGCAATTCGAGCACACTGAGCACCCGGGAAGTGGTCACTAATAGGAAGCCTCGACTGGCTAAGGTGATCAGTGTGGTCAGTGTCTGGAGGAACTGAGCAAACTGAGTATATAGAAATTGAGTAAGTATATAGTCACTTACTATAGAGGACTCCAGGAGTTCTCCAGTAAGTAATACAACTTGTTTACTACTAATTACTATAAACATTAAGACTAGATTGTTATCTTATTATATACCCTTTAGCTATATTGAATTATAACCCTTGCTAATACCTTTAGTAAACCCTTTTAGAGTATAGTTGATATGATTCGTTATATGTTGCTTACTCCCTTTGATTCTATTATGGTTCAGACGAAGGTAATTGATACTATAAGCTCTTCGATAGGTCCTATTATAGTAGAGGAGGTCAATATTATCCTCTAGGGGCTCTGTACCTAGATTAAGGCCTTTAAGGACGAGAATAAACGTTAGTAGGAGGTCATTAATAAGAGTACTACCTAAGTTAAGGCGCTCGGGAAGGCTAAGATCAAGATCGAAGCCCCTACCAAGTATAAAGGTAAAAAGGAGGACCTCTTGAGGTTCCTTATAGAAATGGCTTCCTATATCGAGCACTATAAGGAGCGCTTTAATATAGAGTCTACTAAGACCTGTTATACAGCCTCCTGGCTTATAGGGCAACCTGCTCGGTAGTTTGAACCTACCCTGTAGGATTATATGGAGGAGTCCTATATAGACTAGCGAGAGTTTATATAGAAGGTTTTCGATAACTATACCTGTTTCGAGGAAGAGCTTATAAAGGTGTTTGGAGATGGTAACGAGAAGGTCTATACCTAGGACCGGTTGGCTAGGCTCTACTAAAGTAAATCTACCTCGGCCTATACTACGCTATTCCGGTAAGATATATTATAGGCTAGGATCAATAAGGATAGACTAATGTCCTTATTCTATAATAGCCTGAAAGAGGATATAAAGGACGAACTCTATAAGGAGGACTGTCCGGGTATACTAGACGAGTATATCGCTAAGGCTATCTATATCGATGATTACCTCTATACCCGGAAATAGCAGAGGAAGGGATAGTAGAAGCTAGTAGTTAGAGGGAACTAGGCTAACGAAGGAAAGAAACGGTATAAAGGAACGGCTTATAATATATAACCTGGACCTATAGACATCGATGTAGTTTAGACTCAGTAGCCTAATAAGTAACCCTATAATAAGTCTAACGTTATCTATTATAACTATAGAAAGAAGGGCTACTATAAGTGTAAGTATAGAAGCCTATAGAAGTAAGGGTAGTAGTCCCTAGTGCTAGGATATAAAGCTGCTGTTATTAAAAAAGGCGTTAAGTTTAAGGAAGTCGCTGCTAGTAGTATCGACCAGGATAAGGTCGACTATACCTATTACCAGGAGGAACTCTATAGGAACTATAACGACGAAGATAGGTTCAGATTTAGAAGGGAGGACGAGGAATTCTCGGACGTCTTAGAGAAGTATAGGGAA